ATGTGTGTGTTAAGAGAAGTTCATTTTTATTAAAACCAATTAAGTTCATCGTTATTTACACAATTTATTTATAAACGTATAGCCATTGTGAGGCCTGTCACGACAAATTTTGCTGGGCGATTGTCTCAGAAATTATTGCGATAAACCAACATTTTTCAGTCAGGTCATCTGGACAGTTTCATTTTTTGCTGAAATGTTTCACCTTCCATCCAGAAGGCTTCATCAGTCAAGGAAACACACAACAAAACTGATTCTTCCCCCAAACAGCTTACTCCAAAGTGGAACAAACCAGTTATGTTGGTGCTAAGATGGTGTCTTTGGCACGCCCCCTCCTCTGGAGCTGGCCCTCTTCCTCGTCGATAGTCATGTCAAACTGGTTCAAAACCAAAACAGTTCATGCTCAATAATCCAGGTATACAATCCAACAATTTTTAATCAGGTCATCTGGACTTTTTTGGGTTTGAACCAGTTTGACATGACTGTCGACGAGGAAGAGGGCCGGCTCCAGAGGAGGGGGCGTGCCAAAGACACCATCTTAGCACCAACATAACTGGTTTGTTCCACTTTGGAGTAAGCTGTTTGGGGGAAGAATCAGTTTTGTGTTGTGCGTTTCCTTGACTGATGAAGCCTTCTGGATGGAAGGTGAAACGTTTCAGCAACAAAAAAAAAGAAACGGTCCAGATGACCTGACTGAAAATTGTTGAATTGTTTACCTGGATTATTGAGCATGGACTGTTTTGGTATTGCGATAAACGATAATATTGTTGAAATTTGACGATAATTACTAATTGTTGTCAAATTTAAGAAGAAATGTTGGTTAATTTTTGTGTGTAGTACCTTTTTTGACCACTGGATGGCAGTATAAGACTGTTTGAACCGAAGGATAGATAGTGAGGGAGCAAGCAGTGTCTCTCTTTAAGAAAAATGCGAGGGAGGCCCCTTGACGTGACACGGGCTGTCTCTCATTCCTGTTTTTCGGTTCTCAAAATGGCGGACGCTCGGTGTGATGCGAGCTCTTTAGCGTAGCATTTGTCAAACAAAGCTTTTAATTTAAAAAAATAATCAGTAAACAAGTTCTCAGCTTCTTTTTTCAGAGAAAAACAACTTTTTACACAAAGGCACGAGTTTCAACCGTGAATTTTGAAGCTTTGGCGAGACGGAGGTTTTCCCCGAGGTCAGCCTGTTAGCTTAGCTCGTAGCTTAGCTTCTCAGCTTAGCTGCTTTTAACGATCCAAAAACGCGATTTTGGACGGTGAAAACAGATTTTAAAGAGAAAAGAGAAAGGGAGGGTTCAGTGAAGAACACCGGAGTTGAGCCTTGTCATCCAGTGTCCAGACGAAAAAGAGACACGAAGAAACGATAAAGCCGATAAATGAAAATGAGGTCAATCATTTTCATTTATCATGTGATTAATTGATTTATTGCGACAGACCTAGCTAGCTATTGTATGTCTTTGTTATGGTCATGGTTTGTTTTTTGAGTGTTTTTAATCGTAAAATAATTCTGTTCTTGTCTTTTTTTCTCTCTCAACAATTTGACAATTTTTCAAATATTATTTAAATTTTATTAGTCAACTTTATTTTTGTGGCGCAACATTGTTTTTGTCTATAGTTGATTGTAGATGGTAGTAGTTTTTAACTTGTCAGAAAGTACCCACATGCAAAACAAATGGGAGTCCGTCTTTAAACATCTACAAAATTTGAATATTTTCATTGCCATAAGTTTAGCATTACACCTTTATTTAAGCAGAAATATAAAAATACAGGCGCCTCAAAAAAGTTGAATATTGTGAAAAAGTTCAATTTCCTTTGTCAATCATTTCAGAAAATTAAACTCATTCGTTACACAGATTAAAATGTTTCAAGCCTTTATTTCTTGTAATTTTGATGATTATGGCTTACAAATTATGAAAAAACAGAATTCAGTGTCTCAGAAAATTAGAATATTACATTTGGTATCTTTAGCAGTGTGGGCAGGTGCAAAGTCCTACTGAAACAGGAATCGATGCAATGAATCCGTTTCACTTTCTAACATAATTGACAAAAAATAGAACTGTTTCACGATATTCTAATCTTTTGAGATGCACCTGTATTCCTGCAGGACGTTCCCAAGCTGAACCTATTTTACATTATTTTTTTCAATAAAATTTCTAAAATAACTATTCAAAGAAACATTTGTCTGAATCAGAATGGGGGACACTTTTTTTTTTTACCGTCATAAAAAGAACTAATGCGACATGAATGAATGAATATAATATACCAGTTTCACTTTTTGAATGGAATTACTGAAATAAACTTTTTCACGATTTTCTAATTTTATGACCAGCGTCTGTACATGTACAGGGGAGCCAAGGTGGACAATGGCCGCCCCCACCCCCCAACAAAAAATTAAAAAATAAATAAACATTAGTGGCCCCCCACCGAACCCCCTTAACCAGACAGTTTTAGCCTTTTTTTGCTTGATGTGTATTTTTAATCCTCACTAGCTTTTTAGGATTAGTAGAACCCCACAAACATAAAAACAAACCTTGTTTTTAAGCTATTACGGAGTTAAAAATATAAATATATATTTTATTTGAGTTAAAAAATAAAATAAAAATTTGTCCGCCAAAAATAAGGAAAAACACTCTGAAACCAATACCGTCAACATTAGGATGCAGGTTCTCACAAGGTTATAAGCATTTTTTTAATTAATATAAATTTAGGAAAAGACAAGCCTCAAGTGGCAGTGCTTTTCTTAATAATATAAACCGTAAATGAATTAAAAATAATAATAATAATTTTACCTATGTAAATTATTAATGAAAACAAACCTATAATTTCTTTCTGGTTTTTGGTGTGCCACCCTGGATTTTCAGTGGCACCGTACATTGGCCACCCTATTAAATTCTGGCACCGTCACTGCATATAAACCCTAGTGAACAACGAGTCACCAAACTTCGTTCAAAACATTCTCAATTTAGCGTCGCTTATTTTGGTAATTATAGGAAGCAACATAAAGAAATCCTCACTAAACTGAGCCTTATCATTTTACTCAATTAATGCCGAACCTTTCAGACTTATCTGACAAACAAAATACTTGAAGCTAACTTTGAGATTCTTTTACAATTTTCAAAATACATTGGATTTTAAAATTATACATTCCGCTATGGGAGTCTGGCAGGGTACACAAACGCCATGTAGACATTATAGAAACGGTGTTCTGACCTGGCAGCGTAAAGGAGCGGTGAAACATTTGGTAAAGAAGAACTTTAATGCCGCACATATACAGCTTGAAGAGAGGCACCAACACCGCCAGCAGCCACATCTTTCCCCTCCGACACACCGACCAGAGACTCCATGAGTCCGGATCGAGTCTGTTAGCTCCGCCCTCCACGAGTTTGCGTCACAAGGCGGGAAAAGGTCAAGCTCAGCCATAAAAGTCAAACACGTGATTTGACTTTTTAGGATTTCAACACCAAGTTGAACTCTGCACTCATTACTCAAAGGGGTTAAAAGAAAAGAAAAAAAATATATAGTTTATCTCAAATTTATGACGGAGCTTTAGCGCCACACTTAAAATAATATATTTTTTAAAAATCATTGCCTCACTAAGAAAAAAAAATAAAAGCCATAAAATTACGAGAATAAAGTTGATTAAAGTCTTAATATTATGAGAATAAAGTCGTACGAGACTTTTTTTTTTTTTTTTTTTTTTTACAGCTGTTGTAAATATTTTTTTCCCATGAGTAGGATCCACAACCCGACCTGTCAATCAATCCAGTAGGTGTGTCAGCAAATGACCAATCCGAAACTAAATGAGTCGTCATATTATCCGAACGCCGACGCGATAAAGCAGAGTTTGCCGCATTTTAAGAGTCAGAGAGATTTATTTGTCATACACACCACCTCACAGTTCCAGGAACTCGTCTTAAGCGCAGAGGTGACAGGGCCTTCTCTGTAGCAGGACCAAGACTTTGGAACGAGTTACCTCTGCTTGTCAGACAGGCCCCCTCCCTCTCGGTTTTCAAGTCCCGTTTAAAAACCCACTACTATTCAGTAGCTCTCAACACCAGATGATCTGTGTTTTGAACCTGTATGCTCCACACTGGTTAGTAGTCATATTTATTATCTTATCATCGTTTTTATGTCTTTATTCTGATTTACCTCTTTTTGTATATTGCTTTGTGTGTTGCCTGTTGTTCTGTCTGTACAGCACTTTGGTTGGCCTTGTCACTGTTTTAAGTGCTCTATAAATAAAATGGTACGGTATGGTATGGTACCACATGTGGTACATGTGGTGGAACAAGATTATGTACACTGGGTCCCAGTTACAACAATAAAATGTAAAAGAAAAACAGTAATAAGATCTAAGATATGAGCTAAGAAAAACATCAACTAAATAATACACTAAGCACTAATAGCATAAAACATTACGTCGAACAGCAGCACGAACATGAGTCTGTGAGATGAGTACGAATGAACACCGCAACATGAAACAGATCAGCAGCATGATGTGATTCTTCAGTGATTAGAGATTTGTGAGTCTAACAGCCTCAGGGTAGAAGCTGTTCCTCAGTCGTGGTTCTACTTAATGCTCCTTAACCTCCTTCCTGAGGGGAGCGGGGCAAAAAGTGTGTGTGCTGGGTGAGTGGGGTCCTTCATGATGCAAGTGGCCCTCTTCCTGCATCTGGAGGTGTAAGTGTCTGTGACGTGGGGAGACTGACTCCAACAGGCTTCTGTGCAGCCTTCACCACTCTCTGCGGTAAAATGAAGAATGTTAGTTAAACTTTATTATTGACTCAAAAAGTGTTCCAATACTGCCACCTGCTGTTGTGTTCTTGTTTTGTTTTAGCTTCTGGGATGCGTATACGTGACGTCATTACGTCATGACTTTCGTTTTTGTTTCCGTTTGAAGACGGCGCGCAGTGAACGAAACTGTGCGTGCAGCGCTGTTAGAGGTCTTCAATAAATATGCATAGGCTGAAAAGACCCAGCGACTCACTTATAGGAGCATTTAGCTTCGGATTGGTAATTTGCTGACACGCCTACTGGATTGATTGACAGGTTGCGTTGTGGATCAGACTTGTGGAAAAAATAAATAAACAAGAGCTGTGAAAAAAAGTCTTGTACGACTTTATTCTCCTAATACTATGACTTTATTCTCGTAATTTTATGGTTTTTAATTTTTTTTTCCTTAGCGTGGCCCTAAAGCTCCGTCGTACAAATTGCAAAACTTCAGAAGAAAGTTTGAAGAGTGTTGCTCAAAATCAGATTTCGTCTCCAAATCTCAATTTAAATTTGAAACTTCCTTTTAATAACGTAGGCTGACGAAATGTAAAAATGTTGTCGTATAAACTGTATAAAGAAAGAAAACAACATGAATTGGAATTGTAACGCTGTTGTTGTCAATGGCTCATTTTAGTCACCATGGTAACCGCACACCTGCGTCTCTCTTCCTGGCAGTTCTAATAAGACAGGTAGACAAAAATGTAGAGTACAAAATAAGCCTCAGATTGTTTATGGTCAGGTGGCACCAATAAAATTCATGAATTTGTTTTTTTAAACTCTGTTCTTTGAGTTTGAGCTTAACTTTATTGAACGTAGTATAATAAAAGAATAAACAAAGTTATATAAAAATAAAATAAAATTAAAACATAAGCAAGCAGAAAAAAACAACAATAGTAAAGTATATTTACATGTTCATAAGAGTGGGTAGAAGTATAAACTTATTGTTACATCCACCCCTCTTATAACATCATCCAATAATTATCTATTCATGGTCTTTGGTTGTCCTTTGATGCAAAAATACCAAAAAAAAGACATTAATAACAATAATAATTTATATTAATAGTAATGTTTGCGAAACTTCACAGCTTTGAGGCCACTGTTAAGAGATTTGCGTTTAAACAAAAATATACCGTAATTTCTCCCATTACTCAAACATGTATTTTAGCAGTTTATACACAGTATTTGTTCTTTACCATCATAAATTTGGCATTTTATTGAAGACGTGGAGAGGTTATCATCAGTTTTCCTTCGGACATTTGAAAGGGAACTTTCTCTCTATAACTTCTGTCAGATGAATTTTCATGCCATGCATGCAATTTTGTCTACAGTATTTTATGTAGGAGACGCGAAAAGTCAAACTCCTTATTTCCAGCTTTGAAGAGAAGACTCTGATCTTTGATGCAATGGAAGTGAAAATTGGGATGAGTGCACATTGCTGTTTAGAGAAAATCAAAAGTAGCTAGCACTTTATTAAAAAAACTGTAAGTCTGCAAATACTTTGGAAAAGTTTAGACAATGGTTAGTGTAACTTTCACACAATTTACCCATTGGTGATGAAATGTTAACAAAAAGACTGTGCAAAAGATATTACTGTCAAGCCCAACATTCTATGATCCATTTAAAAACTATATTTATACTATCAAGTATGCCTGACGTCCAAATAGGGCTAAGTTTTCTCACTGATTTCACAAAAATCCCATGTTTTCTACAGGGAAATTTCTCTCTCTCCCATTTTTTCCTCAGATTTCTTCTTCAGTTTACCATTCAATGCTGCTACAACACACTGTCCCCATTGAGCTGTACGGGTTTTTCCAAAACTGTGTAACGTACTGCAAATAGCAAATTGCGATGAGAACGAAAGAACAACTAACAAGTGTGTTTGAATGGTTGGAATTGAGAACTGTGTTTGATTAACACAAGATAAAGGATTTTAAATTGACTCCGAGGAAAAAGATGTAGTACACAGTGGTGTAGTCTACGTGATACTCGGTATACGGAGTATACCCACTAGAAAAGCTTAAGAATTTCAGTATATTCACTTAAAAGTGCCCAGTGATACATGACATACCATTAGGCACGTGTAATTGATATGTTAAACACCACTTAAATGTTCCCATAATATGTCTGTATGCAGTGCTTTGATACTGTTTTATAAATTATATAACATGTTTTTAATACAAAGCCAACTGTTGTACAAAGTGTGTTATTCGAATATAAGCATCCGAGCAATTTGGAAATGTTCAATATGCTTAAAAATCTAAATAAATTGACGATTTACATTGTACTAACCAGTGTACTTTAGTTTCAAAGCACAGTATACCCACTACAAAAATGTAGCCTACACCACTGGTAGTACAATATTTCTTGACTTTCAAAAAAGGTTATTTTAATTCTAAAAAAGAAGGAATCATCTTAAAAGAAAACTCAAGTCTGTCAGCACTTCTGTGCTTTTGGTGGCGAGAAAGTGGAACATGTAGCATCCAGAAGGAAAGAAGAAAGAAGTCGTTTGTTTTTATCTTCTCCAGATCTTCATCCTAAATCCGGAGTACACAGGGGCTTTTGTGACATGAACAGCACACTGTTCCAGGTCGTCTCGATAGAACATGGAGTCTCCTTTTATCAGGGACCTCATGTATGAACACCGAGTGTGAACAAAAACGTTGCGAACACCGTGTTCCACACACTTCTCAGGATGTCTGAAAACCACATTGCGTGCGAACGTTTGATTTGCCGTAGAAAAAAATGTTCCGACGTGCAAAATTTCTCGTTCTTTTCCATTTATTTTTTGGACAGAGAGATTAAGTGCATAAAGTTGTGCGAGAGCTGTCTTAAGGGCCACTTCTATTTTCAATTAGACAAAAACGGTGTCAAATCAGCTGATTATTTCAGAAAAGGTCATGTGTGATGATTACTACAGGTCAATATGGTGTATACAATTACCCATGGCCATAAACAGTGTAACCAAGAACGGCTTGTTTATTTAAAATAATCAAGCACGCCCCGAATTGAGCCTTTAGTCCAGTCCATTAGCGGGCACCAAACAGGGCCAGGCCACCGGGAAATGTCCCGGCACTCGTGATGGCCAGTCCGCCCCTGGGTGTAACATGGTGCGTATTGTCAAACCACGGCAGTTTGGGAATTGCTGGAGGACATTACCAGTAGAGGAATTGGCAGGGAGCGTTATTTTCCAAAGATCACACCAACCTTCTAGCATACAATTACACCCGGTTCATTAGCCAATCTCTGTGCTGCACTGGCTCCAGCATTATGGAGGGAAACTAGGAAAAGCCATGTTAGGTTGCCAGTTCAACTCCTCACCACGCTGGAGTTCCTCACAACCGGAGCCTTTTAGATGGAGCTGGCTGACAAGCTGGGTATTTTACTGTGTGTACAGTAAATGTCATGGGGTGGCTTCATCCATGTGATACCCAGACATATCAAATAGCCTACACCACAGTTGAAACACTTTGTCAATGCCCAACATCTTGATTCTTCACATCACTTTTGACGTCAAACATTATTTAATTTCAGGCAAGAACCGGAAATCGGATACTGCCATTATTAGCATTTATCACCTTCTGCCACTCCATTTTTTTCCCACCTTTTATTACCAACCCTGAAGGAATGTTGACCAAATAAAATGTTACCGCCTCCCTCTCCAACATCTGTTCATGGAAGATTAGGGCAATGGTAAAAACAAAATATATGTATATATTTTTTTTACCGCTCAGAATTTTGAGAAAAAAAGTCTGAATTCAGACATTCGTCTAGGAATTCTGACTTTAATCTTACAGTTCTAAGAAAAAAGTCAGAATTATAAAAAATATATATATATATTTACCACCATGACCCTAATCCTCTTCTTTATTTATTTCACAATCTTATTAAAAAAAATAATTTAAAATTAAAACAATTCTTGATGCCTTTGCCATAATAATTTGGACATGGGGTGCTACGTAATTTACGGAAGAGGATTAGCCACAGTCCAATTTTTCATTTTTATTTCCTTAATTCTGACTTTTTTCCCCCCATAATTAACATCTGAATTCTGACTTTAATCACAATTCTGAAATTAAAGTCAGAATTTTGTAAAACAAAAATAATTGCACAGTGGCCTTAATCCTCTTCCATAGTATTTATACTAGCTGGCATATTTATTTATGGGAGGGGATAAGGTGGTCTTAGTGGCATGTGCAGCTGTGCTCTATTCACATAAATAAGGATGTATAAATGTGTACAGGAACATGCACATTCCAAAAATCTGAATAGTTTTGTGCGTACACTAATATTCTATATAAAAGCTCGGCAATCTTTCATACACGAGGCCCCTGAGCCAAAGACGTTCCCCGTCAGCTCCTGTGGGCTTGTCTCATGTCCTTCATACTTGTTCTTCTTCCTGCAAGAATGTTATATTGAAGATTCTGCTGCAATATTAAGATTTTTATGCTCAATGTCTTGTTAATTTGTTGAAAAATCTTGTAAAAATATTCAAATTGTTAGTATCTTTATTAAAAGAAATTGCAGCAAGATTAAAAAAACAATAAGCAGAAAAAAGTGACTATTCGCACAGTCAACACCGTCCCACAGGGACCTTAAAACAGTCGTTCGTTAGGGTTGTTTCTGCTGCATTTCCCTCCAGCTCTTCCACAGCAGCAGGTCACGACTCTTTCCAAAGGCAACAAGCCAACGAGGCAACCGGTATCCATTAAACTGACCCACGCCGTCATCTCGGCCCATCGCTAGCAACATGGTGACGTAACCTAGCAACCAGAAGAAACATCTGTAGGCAACAGAGACGGTTAACCAGCAACCAGTTAAACGTAGGTGCTTACGTACCCGTCCGATACATCGTCAACTCCTTCCCGATCAGGCTGTTGATGATGTTGGTGACGGCGACGGCGGCGTGGAGGCCGGCGTGGTACGCCAATTTTGGTTCTTTGACATCGGCGCAGTCACCCACAGCGTAGATGTTGGCGAAGCCCTCAACCTGCAGGTGATCGTTCACCTTCAGCGCTCCATTTTCTGCCAGACTGTCAGCTGCCAGCAGAAACATGTCACTGATCAATCAACGGCCCATCCCCTTTCAGTCTCTTCTAAACATTTAAGGTTAATATATAAGCATCTGTAAGCATCTTAGCTAGCGCGTCTGTATCGTGCACCGCAATACAGTTGTCAACCGGGGTAGAGGGGTGTTGTTAGGATATGTGAGAGAAGCGGAGTGTGCTCTACTCACACAAGGAGAGCTGTTGGTCAGGCTACTTCTTGTTGTGCTCTAAAATGGTTATTGAATCAAGTGTTTACTTATGCAAGTAAACACAAATGTTTAAAACTCCATTAAAATACACCAGAATGCAGGAAATGGCATCTACTTGATTCACCTGTGGGAGGACAACCAGACCCTCTCACCAGCGGATCCCTCCCCACATAAATGCTTCTAACACTAATGGCCACCACGTTGTTCAAGCCATCGTCAGTACTGGGAGCTGAAGCACCCCTAAAGGTCAGATTCTAGAACCGCCCATGTATACAATCGTGGGGAAAAACAAAGAAAGGCTGAAGTTTGGACTTTTGGAACACCTTGATTTTCTTTTTCAGCAGTTCTGTTGGACATTTGTGGCTGTGATCGTTGCTTTGTTGCATCATACGGTTTGGACCAAGCTTCAGATGTTGAACAGGCAACCTCACGTTAGACTCTAAAATCCTCTGGTCTACAGGAGTTCGTGGTCAACTCAACGACTAATGTGTCCAAAATGTGAGCTCTCCACTTCTGTGCGTCACAGTTGGTATGAGGCGTTTGTTCAAATACGGTGGGTTTCGTTTTCTCCAAAACGTGGTGCCGACCATCCAGGTTAGATTCACATCATTTCACAACACGGTAAAGATCAGATCAGTTTCATTATATCCTGCTTTATAACACACTCTGATTAAAAGAGGTGTACTTTATTTTTGTCGTGACTGTTTGTAGGCAACAGTATAATTTAAGATCAACAATCGGATATGACTTCAAGACAAGAGAAACCTTAAAGCGCAGTTCTATTCAAAGCAGACATAAAAGCTGTAAAGACATTTAACATGTTCGCCTAAAAGCGAACGGTGTCAAACGCTCAGTCTGGACAGAGCAGCAGGTGGGGAGTCTGACACCCGTCTGTGAGGAAAGCTCTGAACAATTACAGCTCAAGGCTTTCAGACATTTTGGAAACCCTTTCACAAATACCAATCGCAATTTGGCACAACACAATGAGATATTGACCAACAAGAGATACACATAGTTAAGGTCTGGTATTTGTTTGTTTCTAACTATTCCAACAAGCTGATCAGAACCAACTTCATTTTTGCAGTGTGAATGCTTATTGCTGAAAATCAGCTGAAATTAGCTAAAAAAAAAAACATGCTGAAACGTAGCTGAAATTAAGAACAAGTCTAAATTGGCAGAAGAAAGCAGAAAAAATAACACATTTTTGCTGGATTTGGTTTAAACAAGCAGAAATGAGCACAAAAATTAGCAAATTAGGTTAAAAAAGTTGAAATTAGCAAAAAGTTGCTGAAAAGTAGCTGAAAAGGCAAATGGAGAGAGCACAGTTGTGCCCAATTAGGCTGAAAGAAGCAGAAATTAGCACAAAATAGTGGAAATTATCTGAAAAAAGCAAAAATTTGCAAAAAAACCAGCTGAATAGTAGCTAAAAAAAACTGAAAGAAGCTTAAATTACCAGTAGGAATGGGAGAGAGCACATTTTTGCTGAATTAGGATGAAAAAAGTTTAAACGAGTGCCAAAAATGTAGATTTAGCTGAAAATGCTGAAATTACTATAGAAACAGCTAAATAGTAGCTGAAATAGCAGAAGTAAGCTGAAAGGAACATAAGCTGAGATTAGCAGAAAGAAGTTAGAAGAAGGTAAAAAATATTGCGGTTAGCAGAAAGAATCTGAAAGTAGCACAAAACAGCTGAAAAAAATGTTTAAATTTGCACAAGGAAGCTAAAAGAAGCTGAACCAGAACAAAATGTGAAAGGAGCAGCAAAAGGTTGTAAACGGATCTGAAAATTTGAAGGATGTAAAATGAGCTCAATTTTCTATGAGGGGAAAAAAAAAAAAAAATGCCAGAAAATGCTAAATATTTCAAAAAGCTAAAGTTGCACCAAAACCAAAAGTTATATCACCTTTCTACTAAAGATGCTGAAAAAACGTACGGAAGAAAAATGATCACAACAGAGTGAATGCTTCATGAGTTCACAGAACAAACCACTGCCCTCTGGTGGTCAGAGGGTGAAACTGCAGCTGTAAAGTTGGCTTCAAGCAGAGGGAGCCGCAGGTGTTCAGACTCACGGATGCTGGAGGCGTAGGCTGCAGAGTTGATCTTCAGTCCGGCGCAGCAGACGATCAGATCCGTGGTCAGCGTTTCTCCTTTATCCGTCTTCACCTCCGTGTTCTTCTGGGTCACGTTCAGCCGAAGCTCCGACAGGTTAGACACTTTCTGTCCTGAGACGCACACGCAGCAGAAGCAGTTTCATCAAACCCTGCCGGGACACACCTGTCCACAGGTGCAAACAGGTCTTCATACCCAGCAGCAGCTCCACTCCTTTCTCCAGCAGAACCTCTTTGGCCTGCTGTCTGACGCTGGGCAGCAGCTCCGTGTCAGCCAGCGCGATCCTGGAGTGGATCAGAACCACCTGGATAGAAGCAAACAAAAGTGAACAGAGTAGAGGATTACGGAGCTGCTGGTTCTCCCGAGTGGAGAAACGTGAGGGGAGCTTCTCTGCAGCATCAACCAGCAGCAGGGGGTCAAAGGTCACGGGTCTGTTTGTTGTCACCTTCTTGTCTGGATACTCCGTCTTGATCTCAGAAGCCATCTCCACACCGGTCGCACCGCCTCCGACGACCAACACCGAGTCTGCTGCCTGGAACTACACACACACACAGATTAATTTATTTCCTGGAGCCTAAGCTGCTTCGTGCCTCCACAGCAGGACTACCGCTCCGATCGTACCTGCGTGACCAAGTCCTGGTAGGTCTGGATGGAGGTCTGATACGACGCCTCCGTGTTGAACCTCCCGGGTAGCGGTCCGTCCGACCCAGTACACAGGATGAGGTGGGAGTACGAGATTTCCTGCAGTACCAAGAAGCAAACGCCACACATCAGCTGAAATGAGCCTTCACAAACCAGCAGCTTCAGTTTCCAGCAGGTGGAAGCAGAGCCGCTTTAATCAGCCAACGATCCAGTGCGGGTCTGTCCGTCCTCTGAACCAGGAAGGAAATGAAGTCTGCCCATTGTACTTCTTGGTTTTGTTCTTACTGGGAAGTTCATTTAAAGGACTGTCTGAAAACTCAGCAGCTATAGTGGGTAGAAAAAGTATCAACCCCCTCGAAACTTTTTCCAATTCGTTTCCTTTGACCTGGAATTTAAACAGATTTTCTTCTGTCGCTTATAAATAATGGAACGGCACAGAAAATTAAATTTTTTATGAAGTTAAGTTCCGACAAAGTTGGGAGGTTGTGCAAAAAAATGTAAATTAAAAAGCAGAATTCGGAGCTTTGCGAATCTCATAAACCCTCAATTTACTCACAGTGTAAACAAACATGTAGAAGCCATTTATAGTTTTCATTTTTGAATTTAGAATAATTTGTTTAATTCCTTTAGGATTACATTGCTACTGTAAGTTTTTTTTTTTCCTAGTATTTTACTTTATTTTTTAAGTATGTGAGAAGGTATAAGAGCAGCATGCAATGAGGAGGGACTATTTATGTATTTTTATTATTTTTAGCCAAAAAGAAGAAAAGTTAGGAAGAATTTGTTTGTTGTTTGCTGAAACAGATTAAAGCAACCATTAAAAAAATTATCATAATCCGGTTTAGACAATGAATTTCTGTGTTTGCCTGAGTTAAAACAACCTTTATGCCTTTTATTGACAAGTTTACACGAATATACCAATGTTTAAACTTCAAAACTGTACCTTTTTTTTTTTTTTTTTAAGCAAGATATTTTTTATTTAGTGGCTGCAACACATCTCAAAAAAGTTGGTACAGGAGCAACAAAAAGGTCATAAAGGCAAGTGGTACAAAAATAAATAAATAAAACAGCTGGAGAGTCTTTTATAACTAGAGAAATTGCATTTCCTGCGAAAACGCAGTGTGAAGGCTTATTGTCAGAAGAACTTGCTGAAAACTGCTGAAATTATGGTAGCTAAAAAAACATGCTGAAATGAAATTGCAAGCTTACATTTGCAGAAGAAAGCAGAAAGAATAAGTATTTGATGAATTTGATTTAAATAAGCAGAAATGAGCACAAAAATGAGGAAATCAGCTAAAAGAAAAGAAGCTGAAATTAGCTTAAAACAACATCTAAAAAGTAGCCAATAAGGCAGAAAGAAGCTTAACCTACGAGAATGAAGTGGAAAGAGCTAAAATGAGCTTTAAAAAAAAAAAAAAAAGTGGAATTACAGTAGTTGAAAAAGCATAAATTTGCATGAAACAGCTAAAAATAGCTGAAATAGCATAAATAAGCTGAAACTAGCTGAAAAAATGTGAAAGGGGTCTAACAAGCTGAAATTAGCAGAAAGAAGTGAATTAGGCTGAAAGTAGCAGAAATGACAAAGAAAAACTTGAATTTATCTGAAAACAGCTGAAATTAGCTAAAAAAAAAAAAACTGAAAAAAAAAAAGGTAGAACAAGCTTAAATTTGCAGAAGAAAGCAGAAAGAACACAAGTTTGCCCATTTAGGCCGAAAGAAGCAGAAATTGACACAAAAAGTAGAAATTATATGAAAAAAATCTGAAATTAGAACCAAACAGAACCGAGCTCAGTAAAGAAGCCAACTACAAAACAATGTGGGAGTTCTAACAGCTTTGTTAATAAAGGTTAATAAAGGTAGAATACTTCAACAGAATCAGACTTTTTAAAGAGCAATCTTTCATTGTTCAGTTCAAACGTTCCTAGTTTTTGTCACTGGATATTGCACCCAATAAATGTTGTTTTGGAAATTCTAAACCATTCACTTTTACTATAATACTCTTACTTTAAGTACATTTTAGATGAGAAATTTACTTTTGATACTCAAGTACATTAAATGTCAGATACTTTAAAGACTTTTACTTAAGTAATAATTTTAAAAGGAGACTAACTTTTACCAAAGTAATTTTATGGTAAGATACTTGTACTTTCACTGAAGTATCACTTTGAGGTACTTTATACAACAATGAAAAAAAATTAAACCACCACCCCGGTTTGCCACTCCATACGTGTTGTCCATCTAGTCCTCCATGTGACATTGAAGAAATGTGTCAAACATGACAATCCCATAACATATACAGGCTTCAGCATCTCAGGGCAAATCTTGTCTACCCCTGGCTCCCTGCCACCATGGAGCTTTTTGACTACCTTTCTGATATCTGCCATGGAATTGGACTCACCTTCCACTGAGTCCTCAGACACTGCCTCTTTAAAGATGGACATGGTGGATAGATTAAGGAGATCCTTGAAGTACTCCTTTCACTGCTCAACAATATCCCCAGTCCGTGTCAGCGGTTCCCCATCCAAACTAAGCACAGCTTGGGATGGGGCCCACTTTTCTTTTCCGAGTTGTTGAACTGTTTGCCAGAACCTTCTCAAGGACAATCAAACATCCTTTTCAATTGCCTTGATGATTTCCTCCCATACACAAGCTTTTGTATATGCAACCACCAAAGCCAAAGTACTGCTGGCTATCCCATACCTGCCAGGTACTTCAGGAGTCCTCCAGGACAGACAAGCCAAAAGGCCTCCTTCCACTTGACAATATCCATCATCCATGGTGTCCAGACCACCAGCGGGTCCTTCAGTTTCTACCAGGACAGGCACCAATGAACTGCAGGTCACACAGCTCATGAAAGCTGCATCTGCAATAGAATCTCTGAACATGGCCCTTTAGGATTTCATGTCCCAAAACTCCCTCAAGAAATGTGAAATACTCTCTGGGAGGTGCGAGTTGAAGATTACAAGGACAGGGGGCTCAATAAGATGTTTCCAGTTTACCCTCACTGTGTTTCTATTCATCAGGTTTGTCCAGCAGCCACCCCCACCACTGGAACCAATTTACCATCAGGTGACCAGTTGACAGCTCCTCCCCTCTCTTCACATAAGTATCCAAGGCATAGAGCCACAGGTCTGATGGCTCAATCACAAAATTGATCACTGACCTTTGGTCTAAGGTAGCCTGGTGCCCTTAAGGACCACCCTATGCTTGAACGTGGTGCTCGTTATGGATGCCTCATGCTTAGCACAGAAGTACAACAACAGAACACCTTTTGGGATCAGATTGTGGGGAGGCCGTTCCACACCATTTCTGATAACTTTGTCATTGCCCAAGCCCCAGGAGTCAAGGCTTGACCACCAGGTACCACCCTCAGGCCTGGATCTGGGGAAGGGGACCTGGTTACCGTTTTTATTGCAAGGTTTCCTGATGCAACGGATGTTTGTCTATCAAGTATCCTGATGTGTGCTCTCAATAATCCAGGTAGAAAAATATATTTAAAAAAAAAAAGTTAAATTTGGTCCTCTAGACAGTCAAGAAAGCAAAAACATTTCGTCTTTCATCCGAAAGACTTCTTAAGTCTGAGGTGCTGTATTCTAAAGAAAAGGCAATTAAACCAGACCACGGATGAAGAAGGGAAATTTAATACATTGGTGTCGCATACAAAACTGTCTGTCGCCGGGCAGTTTATTGTGCGACACCGAGTGCGCATACGCAATCGTAAAAATTGGTTTTTGCGCGGACATGGATTGCGGACGTCCGCGTTCGAGTCCGCCTCGAGTACACACGGACTTTCGCGGAATGAAGTACGTCCAAGTATGTGGGAACCTTAAAGCCCGTTTGCCATAGGAGGCCCTACCAGGGGTCGACGCCTCAAACAACATAGCTACCAGGATCACGGGGGTCTCCAAGTTTAAACAAATGATATGTTTATTGTGTTCCATTTGTTCACAAAACTGGGTTCATAAGATTTGCAATGCAAATCTCATTTAAAAAATTTTTGTTAACTGCTTTTTGCTTTCGTTTACATTTTACACAACTTATTCGGAACTGGGATTGCATTAGAACAAAGACACTGTTGCAGAACCACGAAAGTCTGGGACTGCTTGGCTCGGCATAAAGCCTGGAAGCAGCAGGACACAATTTGTTGAGCCAAAACTAACATCTACATGGGATTCTGCAATCAAAATAATTAAAAAAAAACAAAACACTGGAATGCTCCTTTAATCAGTGGGACACTGCCTTTCATGTCTTTGTCCTTACCTTCCCTCCCTGCAGGATCACCATTTGTTTGTCGGTATCGACTCGCTCCACTCGGCCCTGGACAAAACTGTGTCCAAACGTCTCGGCGTAAGGGATGAAGGTCCTCTTAGCAAAACCTGCGGATCAGACAGATCAGGTCAGACAGTGTGAGCTCTTGATGACACGCTCAGTGTTTCCCCTAGAACACCTCCGTTGGCGGGGCGCTCGTGGTATTTAGTCACGACTTTGTTGCCCGCCTGCTAGCTTAGCCCTACATTGCTGCTGGGTTTTATCGACGATGAGGGAGTGGGGGAACGGGACGGAGTCACGTGTGTGATGCTCACCCGTTAAGCGGAGCGGTAAGTCAGTAGCATTTTTGCTAGCACATTTGTGTTGCACCCCGAACAACATCAATACCGACAGTTGTCGGGGTGGTGCTTCAGTTGACAGGGCGCTCGGTTCCGTTGACGGGGCGCCCCCTCCTTGTATAACAGCAGGGGAAAAACTCGTCTTAAGCGCAGAGGTGACAGAGCCTTCTCTGTAGCAGGACCAAGACTTTGGAACGAGTTACCTCTGCTTGTCAGACAGGCCCCCTCCCTCTCGGTTTTCAAGTCCCGTTTAAAAACTCACTACTATTCAGTAGCTTTCAACACAAGATGATCTGTGTTTTGATCCTGTACGCTCCACACTGGTTTGTCGTAATTATCTGAATCGTTTTTTTGTCAATATTCTGATTTACCTCATTTTGTATTTTGCTTTGTGTGTTACCTGTTGTTTTGTCTGTACAGCACTTTGGTTGGCCTTGTCGCTGTTTTAAGTGCTTTATAAATAAAGTGGTATGGTATGGTTTGGGAAACACTGCACACTCATTGTGGTAAAGTTCATAGCCATCAACACACCGAATTTTAGCTACATCTGCAAAATGGATTGAATTATTGTCATTTTTGTGTATGCAAAGTTCAATTAGCTGTGGTGGCCATCTTTTATTGGAGTCAATCAGCTGGAGGTGTGCAGGCGATTAAAACCCATTCATTGTTTATGAGATATTTTACTAACAGTCAGTAAAATGAACAAACACACACACACAAAGGCAATAACAATATCAGCCCGCCCTCATGGCAGCAGGTGATAAAATATTGATGAGTGAAAGGCTTGTACCTGGAAGCAGAGCCGCTCTGAGCGCCGCCACATTGTGATGAAACGCATCTCTCATGTCGATCAGCGTGAAATCGATTCCTTGAGATTTCAGCTGGTGGGCCGCAGCGATGCCTCCGAAGCCTCCACCCACTATCACCACATGGACGCCCTCTGGGATAGACACTCGACCCCCCATCTGTAAACGCCCCCACAGACTTAATTTACAAGAACAAAAGCCGTACATTAGCCTTTAGCTGCATCCTGTTATTATTCTGACCATATTTGTATTTTTAGATTAACTTAAATGCATTTTTAACTACATCTTGTTCTATTTTTTTTTAAACTATCCAGAAGTATCTTCAATTTTTTAAATGACTTCCTTCTTGTTAAATCCCAAAGTAGTTTATGAAACACTAAGAGGGGGGTCAACTTAATTAAAAAAAAAAAAAAGATTGGTTATGACAGATTATATTAACTCCGTAATTGTTGCAAATAAAAGAGCAATGAATAGGAGTCGTCGTTGAAAATAATGAAAACGTTACTGTAATTGTGGAGACCGCTTGTGTCGTCAATTTGCACATCATTGATTTTAAGTTAAATTCAAACCCAGTTGTGTTTCGTTTATGTTAGCTCGTGCAAAAACAGCCAAGGTGACTGAATAAAGGCCATCAGTGGTGACTTCTATGGGAGATGAGAACAAGAAATAGGACAATTTTGGTGCATCAATATGCATTTGTACTCAGAATTGTTGAGCAAAATATACAGATAGAAAGGCTTTGTTTACATTGAGTGCATACCTGCATTTTAGAGTTGCATGACGATTTTATGTGGTGGGAAAGATACTGTAAATTCTATAACTGCATCATTTCATCAAGTTCAGGATAAATTTTCTAGTTTGAGTTTTTATAGTTATCACCGAGTCACAAAAACAAACATCTGTGACAAAGAACAAGCATCAAATCAGCTAAAAAAGGACGGTTACTGAAAGCCAAGGGCTCCGAGTCTGGACATCCAGCAGTTATTGTCATCAAGTAAGTTTGTTTTATGGTTTAAAATATGGTTTTATTAAAAAAAATAAACACATTGGTGGACCGAACTGAGCTCACCCGTGGGCCTGATTTGGCCCCCGGGCCACCAGTTGAATACAGGTGGACATTTAAGTCACAGTCCATCTTTGCAGGAACAGAAATATTTTACAGACTTTATGAAAGAAACAATCTATTCTGAGATGAAGTAGAAAAAAAAAAAAAAAGGATTTTATTTTTTTGTCTAAGCTGCTAGTTTGAATAAACTGTTTCATCGTTATTGTAGAACCCAGTAAATCCTGTTTCCCTGCAAGTGGTGGAAAAAAAAAACAACACTTCTCTGCATGTTCTGTTCCCAGAAGAACCGAACCCGCCCATAAACAGGACCCCTTTCATTCCACGACACCTTATGTAATAATTAAAAAAAAACTTATATAATAGTTTTAGAAAGAAGACGCCGGTTCTGCTGCCACTTCCGGTTCAGCGCCAACAAGCTGACGTCACACAGATTAAACAGTTCGTGTTCTCACCTGTTCCTGGCTCGAACCTCCGACAATCTACCGATTTACAGCTGACACCTTTTCTACTTCTGAACCGCAGCCTGAGGGTTTTTTTTTTATCTACTCAGGTTCCCCGGCCTCTTATTACGTCACCAAGTCTTCACCAATCACAGCTCAGCTCGAGGAAAAAGAAGGCGGGGCTGTCTTGCTGCCTTCAGGTACTGTCGGAAACTTGGAAACTTAGTCCCTGACTCAGCATTCACACTATTGTTTGCCTGTTTATTGATTTTTTCCCCGAGTTTCTTAGCAATTTAACTAATTCTGCATACTCTGTGCTATTTTAGCCATTCATATCAGAGCGTTCAAGATCATTCTAGGGTTTGATGCTGCGATGATGTGTTCGTACTTTTACGCTAATGGTGACGTGTTAAATTATTCTGTGCGAAGTATAAATTCTGTCCCCCTAAAGTTGATTTTACCAGATTGCTACCAAAACAATTTATTAATCAGATTCAAAATAGCATATCATCCTATAACCCCACAATTACCCACTCTATCTATTAATGGAATATAATTTACTGACAAAAAAAAAAAATCAACAACCACACAATTAGAAGCTGCCTAAATGAAACTTTATTCCCTGGGAAAATAAATAAAAATAACATACTTTTCAAATTTGAAAAAAAAAAAAAAAAAGCAATAGAAATGTTAAGAACTATATTTATAACTCCCCATACAACCAAAGGCTAAAGAAACACACTTTAAAATTTTAAATGCAGTTTACCCCTCCAAAGAGCTACTAAGAAATCGTTTTAATATTGATGACAATAAATGCTCATTTCGTGAAAAGGCTACAGAAACAATAGGCCATATCTTCTATGAATGCAACAAAACCAAAATATTTTGGAATCACGTAGAAAGATGGATCACACTGAAAATTACACTTCCTGAATCTATTTGCAGAGATATGGTAACATACTATTGAAAAACAAAAAAATGGAACTTGGTTGTAATCTGATATTTTGTCTGGCAAAATTCTTTATTCATAAACAGAGAGTGCTAAGATCATCCCCAGTTCTTAAAGTTTTTTTTTTTTTTAATCTGAATTCCAATTATATTTTAATCTCTGAACTATATTGAAACATATGAAGACCTGTATGAAATGTTAATGGAATTGCCCACGAATGCATGTTAATCTTAATCCTAAAATATATATATACCCCCCTTGTTGTAGTTTATCGTTTTTCTTTTCTTTTTTCTTTTACATTAATCTTTAATCAGTTTTTCTTTGAAGTTCCTATATCTAAATCTGCCTCCACTATGCACTTTTTAGATTTACACTATTGTGAATTGCCATACTTGTTTGTACTTGTTTTTGATAAATAAAGTTTTCTTTAAAAATAAAAATAAAAAGCGTTCGTACGTTTCAAAAAATTTTAACTTTATTGACAAATAGCAATAATAACTTTGTAATTTCGTTATAAAATTCATACAAATTTCTACAGTGCCTTCAAAATTATTTTTGTCTTCGAGATCTATTTCAGCGTATTGGCTCTTTATTCAATTCAATTCAGTTTATTTATATAACGCCGAGTCACAATGGGCACTGAACAGAAACATTCATATATAAAAATAATAATTTAACATTATTTATCTGAGGAGCAGACTGCTTTGTGTTTAACTCCATCGCAGAACTTTCATTTTGAGCAAACATGAAGGCGACAGTGGAAAGGAAAAACTCCCTCATGAGGAAGATTAGCTTTTAATTAGCCATATGCTAATTTTAGCCGTCAGACTTTTTTCAGTTTTGGCTTTTAACTGACCATGTGCTACTTTTAGTTAGCCTTTTTTCTACAAAGTACTTTTAGCTTGTAACTAGGCCTAAGTGCTGTATTTTTTTTTACAAGCTATAAGCTACTTTTACTTTTAGCTAGCCTTTTTTGTACTTTTCGATATTAGCTTGCTTTTTTGTGTAATTTGAGCTTTTAACTAGCCATGTGATACTTTTAACTATTTGTTAGCCTTTTTCTACTTTTAGCGTTTAACTAGCCTTTTGCTATTTTTAACTTCTAGCTAGCTCTTTCGTTCTTTTAACTATCCTTTTAATACTTTTAGCTTTTTATAAACCTTTTGCTGCGTTTAGTTGTCAAATTACCACATTTGGATTATAGCTAGTCTTTTACTGGTTTAAGATTGTAGCTATTGTTTTACCACTTTTTGTGTGCGTTTTGCCACGTTTAGCTTTTAGCTAGTGTTTTTACTTTTTAACTTTATTATCACAATTTCAACTTCTTCAGCAAATTGCATCAACCACTCAATACACTGCTTTTTTTTCTCCATGAAATACAATTTCTCTACAACTTTAGCGTACATGCTTCAAAATATAAAAAAAAATAGCTGTAGTTTATTTTACTTTATAGTTGATTCTTTTTCAGTTTTTTTGTTTATTTTTCATACAGGTTCTGACCCTGCAGCAAAAATTCTTCCTTGCGAGCTGTTCATTGATTTGCTTACTTATTTATTTGCTGATTAACAAACACCTTTATTTAAATCTTTATAAAGGTTAACAGGATCCCAACAGCTGAAGTGAAATCGGTTCCGTCTCAGAGGACATTTTGTCAACATCTATTTGATTGATCACATCAGGTTTCTAATCGCCTGCTGACTTCCCATGACTCAGCATTATTTCTTTCCTCGTCATTGTTATACAGTGATGAGGAAGAAAAAAAAATACCGCCCTCTTTCAGTTCTAGGGTTTCAGCAAACCTGGTGCTGTGCATTATGGGTAAATATCTCTACTTTGGTCTTATGTGTCCACAATGCTCCAGATGTCTTGTGGTTTCGTCATGAAGCTTTACAAAGTTGTGTCGCCAAATTTTTGTTTAGATAGAAGAGTTCTCCCACAATCCTTTAAACAGGCCATGCTTGTGTTTGTTTTGTTTCTTATTAGTCCTGCCATGAACTTTAACCTTTAACCTTTAACCTGCTACCTGAGGCCCGTAGAGTCTGAGGTGGGTTAAGAAATGATGGCATTGCGTAATCTGTTGTGTTTCTGTAAAGTTGAGGTCAGATTTAAATCATTTTAGAACCTCTGAAAGACCAGATCATTTTATGTTAGGTACAGTACATTAAGCACTGAAACTGACACGGTGGGCTTTTTTGTCCCCCTTAACTGTAAAGCTGTTGTGAAACTGTCGCCGTTATAGACATGTTTCAGCTGTTGTTTTAATACCATGCTGCCTCTGTAGTATGTCTTCACTAGGTATAAACCCCCCTATTATTGCTTTACAGGTGACATTTAAATGAACTTCCCTCTAAAAACAAATAAAAAGATGGCAATACAACTCTACAAAAACTGTCCAAAGAACCTAACAAGGTTGAGTCTGGTCGTCTAGACGGATTCTTCTTTGTGGAAATGTTTCATCTTTTATCCAAAAGACTTCTTCAGTCTGAGGAGATACAACAAACTCAGTTTTATAAATAGCACCTTCTCATTGTGGATCAACCAGTTTGCTGGTGACAGCCAAAACTAGCTGTTCATGTGATCAAGGCGGACCATCAGTCTAACAATTGATCGTTAGCGCCCTGACGGCCGCTTGCTATTTACAGAGGGCTGACTGATACTAGCAATAATAGCATTATAAGAGGGGGACAGTTGAACAAGGATGCCTCCGCCCCTGTTTAACAATAAACACGATATCTTCACAAAGATGGCTTCCTTTCTTCCTCTTTCAAACCAGCATTCCTCTCTATCAAAGATGAGCACATCTTCATCCCTGAAATAGTGACTGCTGTAGACCGCAGAGTCCTGGCCTGATGATGTTGCTCTTCTGTGCTGGGCCATCCTTTTGGCCAGCGGTTGTTTAGATTCCCCGATCTATAACTGACCACAGTCCTACTGGACAGCATACGCAATATTACTCTGTGCCAGGGGACAGGATCTTTGGCATGAACCAGTCTTTGCCATGATGTATTTTGGAGTTTGAAAGCTACTGAGATGTCATGTTAGTGGACGTTAGTTTGGGAATGGAACTGAATTTCTAGACAGTTCTTTAAGTCTAAACAAACTGATAAATTCTGATGTTATAAGTAGTTTCTTTCATCTTGTAAAGGTTAATCTGTATCTTCCTCAAAGTAAATATTAATGATCAATCCATGCTTTCATAACATCTCGCTTTGACTACCGGCACTACAATGCCTCCCATTATGAATCAGGCATCTCAGCTCACCTACTGACCAGTATTGTCCTGCATGATCTGATCACATCACCCAAGAACCGGCCTTTCTGCACCGGCCTCTTTTTATTTTCTGGATCCCGTTTAAGATTTTATTACTGACTTTCAAAATCTCCAAGAAAATGCTTCCCAGTCAGTACATGAGCGGTTTGTAGCACCGTCATGTTCCAGTCAGAGAACTGAGGTCATCAGCTCAACTATCTCAAACGACTTTAAACTGATAAAAGTAATACAAAGAAAAGAAATGACTTGGGTTTGTAACACACTGAACATGGACCACATGCAGCTAAGGATAGAGTTGTCTAGAGAGTTTAGAAAGAAAACTTCTGAGCATCAGATTAAAGGTAAAGGCTATACGACCATTTCCAAGCAGCTTGATGTTCCACTGACTACAGTGCACTACGAAGACCACTGAAGAAACTGATAATACAAATGGTATTGAAAGAGCCCAGAACAATGTCCAAAAAGATCCAAGGTAAACTCTTGGGTCAAGGGTCGTCATTGTCAGATCGGACCACCAGTCTATTTAAATTAAAGTGGACTTAATGGAAGGTGACTAATGAGGACACCAGATCATAAGCAATGACGCTGGAATTTTCCAAAATGTATATTGAGAAGCCACAATGTTTCTGGGAGAATGTCCATTGGACAGATGAGGCAAAACTGTAGCTTTCTGTCAACAAGTCCATCAGCTCCATGTTCACAGAGCCAAAAATGAACCAAAAGAATGAACCCTGTACCTACAGCGATACGTGGAGGACGCTCAGTTCTTCAGATTTGCTGCATCTGACAAAGGGTGTATTAAATCTGTGCAGGCTACAATGAAATCTCAAGACTATCAAGGCATCCTGCGGTAAAATGTATTGC